CTGAAATTTTGCATACCGATTCTTGACACTTCCTAGATGGTTTTAGTATGGTTTTTATCTTGAAAAATTTAACAACAATAGCAATAAATAAGCTTAAAGTTTTGCAAAAATATGCGAGCTTTTCACTTTAGTTCAGTTTGTTCCGCTAGGTGGCGTCGACATAAAATCGAAGCTACCTGTAACAAAATTGAATAAATGTGGTTATAACAGGCTGAAGCGTCGCAAAATTTTAGACAATCGTCTACAGCCAGTTCATCGAGCTGCATTGAGAATGTAGATGATAGTCGTACAGCTGGGTCTCCTGGTTACCGATGACGCTTCTCTCCGATGAGCAAGTGACCTAGATCTACTTTCACCTTGAACCTCCAGGATTAAGGAGTGCCACCAATAAAAAATTTATTCTAACCGATGACGTCTCTGGAAGAATACCCAGAGACGTGTCTAGCCAGAGCATATCCTGCTCAAACACTTCAGAGTTATGTGGCCGTACCACAATCTGGCCTGGTGCCGTCAGAGAATTTTTTTACTACGAATGTAAGCCAGGGATCCGGGGAATAACCCGAAGATATTTTTGATCAGCAGCGTACGTCCCTCATGTACGGTCTCCGTCCACAGAGACTCTGAGGTTAAGAGTAAAGCTACCCACAGCTGACTCTCCATCATCAAGAATAATAAAAAGGAATGACTGGAAATTTTACCACTGTCCCTTTTCAGGGCCAATGTAAGCATTTACGTTCCCTACTCAACCATTAATCTCATCGGCCCTTTTAAGGGCCACCTAAGTTTAGGCTACCTTGCCAACAAAAAAAATTTTACAACGATTTCTGGAGACTATTCGTCAACTAAAAGGCTATGTTATGCCGGCCACTATTAAACTAAGTCAGTCATTAACTGGCAGACGTCACGAGAAGAATTGTTCGTTGCAAGGCTGAGAGTCCCAGTGACCAATGACCTTAAATAACCCTCTCGACTCCAAGCATTCAACCAGGAATCACCGATCCTCTCCAAAGTCTGCGCTGGGCGAACCTAACAGCTATGAAGGAAAAAAAAACTTGAGCTAACGGTAGTCTCCAACAGGCAAGCATCACGAAGCAATCTCTACTAATCTCTCCACCTTAGATCATCATAACAACTGAGTCTGCAAAAAAAGGTGCTTTAGACACCAACGTCTTCGACGTTATGCTAGGAGACGTTGGGAAAGAGCACTGCAACTAGCCCCAATGCTTCGGACTTAGTAATTTTTCTCCCGATCAGTCTGGGGCTTCAACAGCAGGCCAGAAAAGATCACCCTGAGGTATCCAGGCAGTGACAATTGCTGTAAACTTTAGTCAAGAAAGAGTTGACTTAAGAAACTTACCGGTCTTTTTCAGGGCAATCGGACATCGAACTACCTTGCCAACAAATATATTAGAACTTAACAAAATTGACGGAAAATAGCCTTTAGGTGTCACAAAAGTTGCAAGAGGGTGAATTGGAAGGAAGACTTCGAATGTATCTAATGAATAAACTTTTAGGTCAAGAAACTGACGCAGAAGATTTATCGAGATTGAAACAGCAGCCTAAAAATCAAAAAATGAGGAATCCATTACGTGAGAGATCAGCTTTTCATTGTAACCTCACAGTAATCTCTTCAATCTGCAAAAATCTAAATTCAGGTTTTTATATAAGTGAAAATATATTTGTATTTTTGTAGCTATAAGAAATGTATAGATCAAGCTCCAGGACTTTATTGCTCTGGTAATAAAGTTGTGAGATGAGAAAGAAAAAAATTTTTTTAATACATATTTTTGGGAGTTTGAAATCCTAACATCTTTCAAAAATGGCCATTTCCGTAAATTACACGGGAGAAACTGCAAATCAACCGCTTCTTACGGCTAACAATTATTTCTTAGCATAAGGAACGCACGGTACTCTTCAGCATAATTGTATGTTTTTTAATTTTTACAGCTTATTATTTGACCAAATAAACTGTATGGATTGCAAATAAATATGTTCTCAGTAAGAAGATTTTTTTTCTAAGAAGTGACAGGAATAAATGTAAAATTTCTAACTGAAAACGTTTCCCATTACATGTCAACACACTACGGTGTTCCGTTTAGTAAGTCACAGGCGAAGCCGAGACGGGGGGCTGCTAGTCATTATGATATTTTGAATAACATATAAAATGGGAAAAGTTATGTTTATGTGTGTAGTTTAACTTTGTTTGGAAAATTAATTATTGTTTTGACTAGTCCAATGCATTCAGGTACACCACCTGTGTCTGTGTATTACAGCGATTTAATATATGGGTATGTCTCGTGTTTGCATGCCTTTCTGCTATTACTCTACCTATATAGTGTTTAGTATCTATATGTTATTAACATCATTTAATTGATAAACAATAGATGTCAGTCCTAGTAATCCACCTTTCTATATGACTAAGAATAAAATTTCTATGTTTAACATACCACTACTTATTTCACTCCATATTTCTTATTTAATAAAAATAATGATAAGTACGTACAAGCTTTAAGCTATACGATTCTCAACTTTTTGAAAACTCGCGTGAGTAAGTAAACAAGTACGTCTGCTACCCAGGTGGCCTTCTGGACACTATTTATTTATTTTTATCACAAATATCTTGCTCAAATGGTCTTTTATACCCAATTTTTAATGCAGCATATTGAAGATGAAGACTTCATCTACAAAACCTATATATTTAGTCTACTGGGAAATTTTAGTTAGATTTATTATAAATTAAAACAAATTGTTTTTCACGCTGATCCATTAGAATACATACTAATATTTACAACTTTGAACTCGGATTTCTTAAAATTTTGACCCATTCGAGATATAATTTAGGCCAGCATTAGATTCAGTAGATTTTTATCTACAAAAAATGATACATCTCTCTTTGGGAACTTTCGTTAAGGAGCTCCCTGAATAAATGAATAAAATATGTATTTTTCCTTCATTTTACTACACATGTGTAGTATAAACATGCAATATGCTCGAAAATGCGTACAACTTTGCAAAAATGTATGTCTGGTTATTCAAGATCTTAGAGTAATAAAGTAAAGTCAACTTTAAAGATTTAAAAATTAAGTTGTTGCAAGCTCTCTTAAAAAAAAAAGACAAAAAATAAGAAATAGCAAACATAAGATCTTACCCTACAGACAACAAATTCGTATTTTTCTTATACGTCTCCTTAAAACAGAGAAAATCTCAGTAAGATACATGTTTGTAACACTTATTTTAGTCTATTATCACATTTTTAAATAATTGCAATACTTTTTTATGATCCTAATTTTGTTGTAACTAAAGCAGAAACCCTTCCTTGTTGAATTAAAACATTTTAAAAATCTATATTTTTTCACACAATGTTGTAATCAAGTGGAACATAAAATAAACCATTTTCAGTAAAATAATAAAAATTTGTATCTCTCGTCTTTCTCAAAGCTGACCTTCTGCTTAGTTCTGATAATAGTCGCTCATATGTAAATAACTAATACAAATCCCACATACATTTTGTGACATCTATGATCTGTATCGTATTTAAAATGGCCAAATATACCCAGCACTGTCTCAGTTACATGGCCCTCACAATAGGTTACACACGCACACACCCACACACACACACACACACTTGTCCACTCGCTATTTTTTCTCTTACATTATTTTGATATGACACTATTCTTCTACCCTACCTCTCACTCATCGATTAGTTACCTTTCGAGATCCGTATAAGTTGTGGAGATAGCTTGGCTGACAATGACCTGTTTCTGGCAACCCTTGTCCTTCTGCTCGGTCTCTTGCTGTCTACTATGCTACTCTGTTAACTGTTATTATCTTTTGGCTCTGGAGCGCTGCAATGTCTATTACTATATTTTTTTTCTACATACTCTACACTACCTCTACTCTTAACTACTCTTTCTACTGTCTCCTACTCTGTCATAATTGTCCTGTCAAGTCTCTCCTTAGCTGTTATATGTTCCGCTACCTTACTTGTATGCTTATCTCTATGTATTCTTACGTACACACATCTCTACTAGTCCTCAATACTGTCAAACCTCTACCTTACTACAAAGCTAGTAAGCGTTAGGGAGTTTCCAAATTTTCTGGAATAACGGCGTAACCTTAATTCTTTTCGTTTCCCGAAGACCCACCGTACAATTTGGCATGCTTCCTTTTTTTTTCTTTTTATTACACACAAAAACACATTTAAACTATACTTTATTAGCAGACTCCTGCGTTGCTAGAATTTTTCAACTTCTCCTTACACTTTTCCTTGAGATCATCGTCTACAGTACCTAAACATACATTGAGTGGTGTGTCATAAACATAAATTTAAAAAATATATATGATTTTACTAAGTCGCAACTAATAAGATCTGCCCTCACCTATAATTCTATGGTGACGTCATTAATTTGGGTACTAAATTATGAAGCTAAGCAATCATTAAGAGAATTAACCGTATTAAGAGCGATAGTAAATTTTTAATCGTATTTCAGAATATATGCAATGATTTTATTGCCAGCTTTGGGTACAAATTTTTAAAAATTTTGGTTCAAGAATAATCAACTTTAATAATTGTAATAATAAGTCATCATACAACGATAACAAGAAAAAGATTTAATATACGTATCGTTATCACCTAGCAAGAGCGTATGCTGTCTGTAAGCCTCATATATGCACAAAAAATGTTAAGACAGTAGCAGATATAACACATATATTTTAAGTAAATACTTATACTATAAAATTGTGAAGCTCTATTCTGATCATACATAATTTACTTATTTTTAATGTCCAAAGTATAACTTGTTTATTAGGATAAATTTATTAATTTAGAACTGTTGTATCCCAATAACGTTAAGATAATTGTAAAAAAGTTAATGTATGATTGCTTTTGAATTCATTAAATATCGTTATTGATGTTAAGTCATCTGAAACAAATTAATGTTAGAACGATTATAAATATGAGTAAACAATAAAAAATGATTTGACAATTTTTTTATTTTCAGCTAATTGGCCTCCTTTTGAGCACTCCATACGTTGGGATTACAATTTATATAGATCAAAAAGGAGTTCAAAATATCCAAGGTCTGCTATATTTAATTATTACTGAGACAATATTTACATTTAACTATGCTGTCTTTCATACGTTTCCTAATGAGCTGCCATTGCTACTTAGAGAAATAGCAGATGGATTATACAACCCTGCTCCTTATTACATCAGTAAAATACTTGTTTCGGTAAGAAATCTACATTCTTACAATTCCTTTCGTTATGCTATTCATAACTTAGTGAAAGAAATGAAAAAACAAGTTTAAATACTGTACTTGTTGACTTAATTTAACTATCAACGTTAAATTTTAATTCCAGTACGGAAAGCCTACCTAATTTTTATTCTCTGGGTGACTTAATATACTTACTGAATCATTAAGAATCTGTTTTTAGCCTTATCATGTAAAAATATGATGTATGACACAAAAATATCATTAAGTTGTTAAACGAATATCATTACAACAATATCAGTATGACTAAATAAGTGAGTATTCATTAATGTTACTACATTTCATTCTAGTAGTAACTCTAAGTGCGCAAACAGTAAGCACAGTTTTAACGATCATAACATTTAAAAACAGATGTAGTAAAAAAAAACCTTTTTCAATACGTAGTGCACATACGGATCAATTGTTTTGAAATAAGATACTAGTTCTGGTTAGTTAAAGTAAGAAGAAGATAACTCAGGGATAGTGTTAAAATTTTGACAAACTGTTAACAGCAAGAAAGTTTAATCAAATTGTTTTTTAAGCATGTGTTACTCTTGCATTACATGAAAAGTAGTCGACTTTAGATAAGTTAATATTTTCTAATAGAAAAAGGAGGTAATAAATATGACTTGTAACGAAGAGTGTGATTAATGTATGGATGATGACAAAACAGTTGATAAGATAAAATCTATTTTGTTGAACAAACTTTTGATGAAAGAAAAATAAAATTTGCCACCACATCTTGATATAAAGTTCAAAGTTTTATTAAAATATAACTATTGGCATTATTAAGTTTTCTTAATGCTTTTAAAAATCTTTGTTGCATTTAAGGAAGATCAGATTATAGAGCGCTAATGGATAAACGAAATTAAAAGATATTTTTTAAAAACTTGAGTCTGGCTTACGGTTATCTATAGTAGTGTAACAGATAAGGCCAAGAAGATTTTGAAGTTACAAAAATTATATAGTTAAATAATATTAAGTTGTCATAGTAAAGTATGTCTGGATCACTAAAAGAATAAACATAAGAAAATGGGCTGTTTGAAAACAAATTTTTAAAGATCTTTACTGTTAATAATTTTGAAATGGATATGACAACACACTTACGTCAAATCAATTTAAGGTGTATTAAATATAGTAAATCTAATTCTGTAACATTATTAGACTTTAATTATTCTGCGTTTTCAGTCGAATAGTAAGTCTGAAAGAGTTTCATGTCATTGTCATATTGCAGGCAATTTGACAACAGGCAAGGACTAACTTTGAAGAATTAATGAAGCATCATGAACGATGAAAGAAAAATAATAATGCCAAAAAACTGAAACCCTTAGGTGTCCTAGATATATCAGTTATTAATCTAGAAACGCAATTTGAAAATCTAACTAAGCTAAGGATTGTCAAACAGATGGTCAGCAATTCTAAGTTACCCTATTTTATTAATTTATATACTATTTGAAATACTGTTTAAGGGAGGTATTAAACAAATCAATAAACACAGTGTAAAAACCTATAGTAATGTCTGATATGGACCTAGATTTGACTTTAACGCGTGACAGAGCGTTTGTAATTAAAGAATGTGATGTGAATAGTTTCTATTGTTGAGGAAAAATTATTTTTACCACATTGAGCCGAACAAAAACTTTCATCCCTTCTCCAGATGAAAAATTAATGGAAAATCAGTATGATAGAAATTAGTATTGTGCTATAATCTCGTTGTATTATGTCATTCGTAAAGTGTTGAGTGCTGGACGTCATAAAACTAAAAAAATACATAAAGTTTTGAAAAAAATTACTTACCAGACATTACAATAAGTAATTAATTAACACGTAATTTATCAGTAATACACATAAGCTTGTTCTTATAAGTACCCCTAAAAAATAAATAAAAGAATCTATATTAATCTATGTCCTACTGTATCAGATATGTGAAGTACGGTGTTACTAACTTTGAAATCGTAACAATATACTTACATTATAGTATCTGTATTTAACGTCCATCCATTACACAGTTTTTTCATTCATTATTCAATCCTTGCATCTATCATCTGTAACCTTTTTCCCTCAGTTTTCCTCGTTTTTCACTAAATATGCGAGTCTATCGTGTGGATCACTTGCACAGTTATTCTAAGACAACTTTATCCTATTGGGTATTCTTTATATTCCGTAGATATCATACCAAGCATACCGTTCTCGTTATAAGATTTAATGGAGGTATTAGTTTAACATACTATCTATCCCAGGCTAACAAACATTTTGAAATAAACTGTAAGTTTACTGATGAGCTAGCTAGGTTTTCACTTACCTTAAAAAGATATTCTCTAAGAATCCAGGCATAATATACAAAAATTGAAGGTTCCCGTATCTTTAGACTTATAGCTGATGACTCTCTACTTACACAACCTTTAAATAACCTTTAATGTAGCATACAATGTAAGCTCTCATTATAATTCAAAATTAAAATAGAATAAATATGCATGCTGCCTTAGGGACCTTTTATTTGCTATTTTAATAACAAATAATATATTATGATTTTACGATATTTTTTTCTTAATATTCAGTAATTTTTCATAATCTTTTAATTGTGATATCTCCGTATGTTGTAAGGAATATTAAATTTTTTGGAAAACTCTTGTGCAAAAGAAAATTTTATAAAAGACAATTCTGAAGCATAAGCAACGAAAACAAAAAAATATACACTGGTTGAAATAATATGTATGCGTAACAAATCACAAAAATAGACTACTTTTCGATAATTTTCAAATATCCAATACTATGTGACAACAATAACCAAAATAAACTGAAAAAAAGTAAAATACTTATTTATTTGTACAATAATTAATTATGTATCTCATTTGTATAAAATTACTTACAATAGAAAAATTATCGACAAATAAGAACATTATTTAGGCTCACAACATCTAAATTGGCACTTAAAAAGCTGCATGCGCTTGTAACACTGCTTCTTGACCTGAAACAAAAAGAGGCACCGACGCAGCATTGCCAAATCTCGATCACGTTCGTTACATTACCTCTTGAGTTCCTGCTCCTGAAAAATGGGGATTGGTGCGGGACTTCTCCTGTTCTCAGGAGAGAACTAATAATTAACGCACAATCAAATACCGTTCACTGTTTCTTTTATTTAAAACACTTAACACTAATACACAGTATGTCTCTTCACTATACTTGAGACGATGCTACCTCATCCTCTGGACTGCGCTGCAACGACTCTGCCTCATAACACGCAAGCCGTGAGCACACGTCCACCACGTCCAGCTCGTCCTGGACCAGGAGGGGCTCCTGCTCGTCCTAGATCCATACTACTATGAACGCACGCACACTCCGTCCCCAATCTCACACACAACCATACTCTCTCTCTCTCTCTCTCGGCTCGACAATGCCACTCTCTCTTTCTCTCACACTGTCTACACTACACTCTCTCTCTCTCTCTCTAATCTCACCTCCTGGTCAAACGTCCGCGAGTCCAACCCAGCGTGATGTCGTCCGCTGTCCTCGAGTGAGTCATTCGTCCTACGGCTTCACCCTTTCTCTTCGCTCTCTCTCTCTTTTCCGCTGGCGCTGCTGTACCTCTGCATCTCAGCTAGTTATCCGTTGGCATCCTCTTCTCCTCCTCTCAGCGTATATACAGATCCCGAAGACAATCAAATTCGGAGAAGCTTCGACCTTCTACTTTTTTGTATACACGTTGCATCAGCGAGAGCATTTTGAAACCTGGAGGCAATTTTGCTTCGTTACATGACATGAAAGGAGTGATGAAACTGCTGGTATATTTACAACAATTTATATCACGTACTAGCCATTTAAGCCAACAATAGGTAAAACTACATGTACATGTAGTTTAATATGTTAAAATAAAAAAAGTAGAAAACTTTTTACATAATTATTGATATAAAATTGTAGAAAAATTTTGAGTAAGAATAAGAAACTTTTAATAAACTCTTAGGATTTAACATTCCTCAAACGGCATTATTGTTTGTAAGCTTTAAGGTAGTTCACTCAAAAAATTGATTTTCATCTAGACTTGATCTTTTTTAGTACGTAATCATTAGGAATTCAACGGATATTGTAATACTTTTTTTTTAGGTAGCAAGCGGTACTTATTTTCAAGATATTCAAGTTCAAAGTTGACACTTTTTACACACGAGTATATGGGAAACACACTTAAGAACTGATATTTCATCTAACTATATAAAAAGTATCTCTTCTAGAAATTTAAAAAAACTAGTATGTAACAGTTTAGAAAACAAGAATTAAGATGTGATTTTGTTAAATGCAGTAATCAGTACTAGATTTAGAGATATTTTAATCTAAATCACGTAGTTTTTTGCTTCGTTATATGAGCCACGTGAGAGAGAGGCTACAGTTGCTATAGAGCGTTATGTTGACAGATGCGTAGAACTCTAATTTTGTCATTCTGCGCAACAAGTGAACAAAAAAAGAGCACGAAGGTTATCAACTAACTCTTGTATGGTTACAAGACAGCATGATCTTAATGCCATTTCGTTGATTGGAGTACCACTGGGCTGAGTGAACTACCTTAAACTATTGCTTTCATTTACTGTTTCTTTTATTGTGTTACTGTGTCATCAACATGGCCTGACATATTTTAAGTCTGTCTCAGTTGTGAAAATTTTTTTTTTTTTTAATTTTAGCAACACTAATATATATATATAATTGTATTTCTACTTTTGCTATGAAAATTTTATTAGTGATCACCAAAATAACAAAGATAAGTAAAGAGATTGCTTATGCCAATACTACGATGTGAACTTTTTGGCACTGATCGTTGTGACCCACTGCGAGCAGTCATCGAACCGGACGCATATTTTTTGAGAGTGTGAGACTCGTATCGAACAGCGTACGCCTACGAGAAAAAAAGTGGATTCATGTGAAAATCAGCATATAGGCCCAAGTTTTGGAGATACGTGAAAGGGGTATACTGAATGTGTGCCTACGCAGAG